AAAAAAAAAAAAATCAAAACATATCCTTATACATCACATACAGCATAAAGAAATTTGAAAGAATAATAATGTATGGACTCAATTGAAAACAAATAGAAAAAAAAACACTATAAATCCAAAGAACTGTGCCCACAATAACTCTTTCTTCAGCTACTCACAGATAAAGCCGTCTTCTAGGTGAAATCAGAATACAAAGAAGTTAATAGCACAAAGAAATCAAACTGCCTAGTTTCAAATATTAATGCTGCAGCAAATAATCTACTTCTCTGCGTCTCGGTGTCACACTACACTAATCATAGTACCTATTTTATAGAGCTTTTGTGAGAATTAGAATAATTAATTAAAACACCTCTAAAATAATACATGGACTATAATGAGCAATAAATTCTAGATACTATAATTAACATATTCACCGTTCCATTGGAAAATCCAGTTGTTTCCCCAGATATTTATCAGAGAGTATGTTCTGCTGTGCATAAGGTCACTATGAGTCGGTACTGACTCGATGGCACCTAACAACAAAAACAAACGCAATATTGTGCCTGGTCCAAGCTATGGTATTTTCAATAATTTCATATGCATGTGAAAGTTGGACAGTGAATAAGGAAGAATTGATGCATTTGAGTTATGGTGTTGAAGGAGAATTTTGAAAGCCATGGACTGCAAAAAGAACAAACAGATCCGTGTTGGAAGAAGTACAGCCAGAATGCTCCTTAGAAGTCAGCAGGGCCAGATTTCGTCTCTCATACCTCAGACATATTATCAGAAGGGATCAGACACTGGCGAACGACATCATGATTGGTAAAGTGAAGAGTCGTATAAAAAGAGGAAGACCCCCAATGAGATGGATTGTCATAGTGGCGGCAGCGATGGTCTCAGGCGTGGCAACAATTGTGAGGTTAGCACAGGTTGGAGCAGTGTTTTGTTCTGTTGAACCTAGGGTAGCCATGCGTTCATACTGACTCAATGGCACCTAATAACAACAACATGCAGTATTGAGAAAACCTAATTTTTCTGGGCCTAATATTTAGTGCTGATAAAATTCAAGAGCAGTTAGAAACTAACCACTTATAGAACTTCCGTTCCCATGTTTCTGACATTAGTAACAGTGAGCATTTGATATTCTTATGATCACTTCTTCTTTTCCTTCTCCAAAGAAACTAGAGAAGACCTTAGGGTATTAAGAACCCTGAGTAGTAGGAAGGAGCCCTTTTGGTGCAATGGTTAATCACTAATGGATTCACTAGCTGCTCTGTGGGAGAAAGAACCTGCAATCTGCTTCCATAAAGATCACAAACTCTACAGGGCAGCTCTTCTTTGTCACATCAGTCACTTTGAGTCAGAATAGACTCAGTGGTACACAAATATACTGTAGTTAAAGTTCCTTATTTTTTAGATTGAAATCTCAGGTCACATGAAAACCACATGAAATGTTTGGAAAATGTGCTGTATGTGCTCCATGTGCCCTTCTAGAACCTCTCAGCTCTGTTCTGTGTCTTAGAAGACCCAACTCAAATGAACAACATTATCTAGGCAAACTTGATCTCTGTCTTTCAGTTAATTCAGTCAATGGGAGACCCTGGCAGGGCATCTGAGGGTGGGAGAAGGGAAGGATCAGAATGTTTATTTCCTTGGCAAAGCCTGTATTTTCTATATTTTCAGCCATAGTCCCTGTCAGGCAGGTCCTCAACCATGATCCTCACAAAGTTCCAATAACCACCCTTTCCTTGATCCTTAAGACATAGGAGTGATACTAGTTTCCCCCTGCATGTTTCACCATCTCTTGTGGGGTCCCTTAATCCTTCCCACAAGCTTATGTAGTCCCTTTAATAAGTGCATTAAGTTTCCCCCTTAAGTGTTCCATCTGCTTCCTTCTGGGAATATGATGGTTATAAAGAAAAATTATTGATCCAGTGAGACACTGAAAAAAGAAAAAAAGAGGGAGGGGACATTGCAGTGTTGCAGATTGTTGGGATTTGCAGACTTTGCATTACTGAAACATGATTTTTCTCCAAAAGGCAAAATATGAATGATAGTAAAATATCAGGGCTCTCAATAATTTGCCATAGGATGTCGCAGAAATAACTATACGTCACCCCAACATTTATGCTTTCTTATAGAGTGAAGTTGGCATTGGCATTTGATCTCCACATACAGTAGATTGGAAAATTAGATTTTTCAGGCTCAAACTTAGGCTCCAAATACAACATGGTTCACAAGTTTGCTTTGAACCACAAGGTCAGCAGTTCAAACTTACCAGTCACTCCTTGGGAACCCCATTTCAGGTTGTTATGAGTCAGAACAGACTACATGGCACTTAACAACAACAATGGCATGGTCATTGATATGTAAAAGGATATGATGCATGTTACTCCCAGGTTATGATTTCCAAGAAACCGGTGTAGATTCTCCACATTTTCTTTTTCTTTCCAATGGCTAGAAGTAGAGAGCTCCAACTTACAAGAACTTCCATCTCATAAGACGGAAGGAGCTGAAGAAGAATCATCAAGTTATAAGCACTAGAATTAAAATTTTATGTGAATGACAAATGAATTTATTGTGTTAAAGCAACTGACATTTTGAGATTTCTTTGTTTTAGCAACTATCATAACCCTGGTATGGCACTGTGGGTTAATGCACTTGACTGCAAAGTTGGTTTGAACTGCAAGATCAGTGGTTCAAGCTCACCAGCTGCTCCTCAGAAACCCTACACACATTTGCTATGGGTTGGAAGTGACTCGATGACACTTAACAATAACTACAATCATAACCCTAATTAACATACCATCATTTGTCATTGTGTGTCACATGTGTTAGAGTAGAACTGTACTCCATAGAGCTTTTTTTTTAATGACTGATTTTTCAGAAGTAGGTCGCCAGGACTTTTTTCCCAGATACCTCTCAATGGATTTGAACCACTAATCTTTTGGTTAGCTACTAAGCACATTCATCATTTATATCATCCAAGGGCACCCAATTAATATATTGTTATTGTTAAGTTTCTTCAAGTTGGTTTTGACTCATAGCAACCCTGTAAAGCATTTCCAAGACTTTTAAAACTTTTCAGGAGCATAAAACCTCATCTTTCTCCCATGAAGTGGAAGGGCTGGAGAGATCGAAAGATGGGACTTGTGGTTAACAGTACAACACTTTTCGTCTGGAGCTACCGTGCTCCCCCAAAGTTAATATACAGTATATAAACTTATCTTAAGGATAAAATCATTTCCTAGCTTTCTCTTTTAAGGATATATAGTGAATTCTAATTCCTTACATCTAGTTTGCCAATGCAAATAGTCCTCATACCATCATTGTACATTATTTGTACTTTTATTTTTTTTGTTTTAACTTTCATCCAGTACTCTTACCTCCAACATATGTTACTTTTAGAAATTAAAGCAATGATATGTTTTAACATTGGCTATTCTGAGTTCAATTTCTTTCTCATTTCCTCCTTTACTAAGTTGTGTTTTGGCCTGAATTTCATAAACTTCCACTTTCTGGATGAAAATTCATCTATTATACTGTTTAAATCCAAACTTATTTACCCACTAGTGTGAAAAAGTTTCAGTTCTTTCATCAGTTGCTCCTGAACACAAGAGGAGTTGACACCTTACATATCAAAGCATTTCAGATATGCAGGAAGAAGAAACATATACCTCTCTTCAGTGGGATGATCCAACATCAAATGATTATGAAAAACCTCTGTTTTCCAACAAATGTTCAAGTAAGCACTTCTAATTATTTACTCCAAGATGGCAATGTATGCTTTGGGTTTTTATTGTTGTTACTGTTGTTATTGTGATTATTGTTCCAAAATGACCCCTAAATAGTTTTTCTAATGTTACACCATACACTTAATAGCATTATAATGTGCGTGATAGTCTTGCATATTAAAAAACTGAAATTAAGGAGAGGAGGAATAAGTAAAGATTAAAAATGGAAAGAGCATATAGACTTGACAAATACTTGTTACTATGCTTTTTTTTTTTTTTTTTTAATTTTTCTCTCTGGAAAGAAAAAATAATTTCTTAGTTTGGAAAATAAGTGAAGGAAATTATGTATGTCTACCATCTTACCTCCTGCATATAATACTCCCAGGTTATTTTGTCAGCATTAAGAAATGAATAGGAAAAGAAAGAAAAGACAAACTGAGAGATCTCATTGGTTTGGAATTTTGTGCTATAGTGAAAAGTGCTATTTTTATTTAATATCTTTGTTGGTTTTGTATCGCTGTTGTATCAAATTACTACAAATCTGAAAACTTTAAAAAACAAATTTACTATTATCGTATAATTCTAGAGGTCAAAAGTACTAAATGGATTTCACTAGGATGGAACCAAAGTGTGCTCCTATAGGAGGCTCTAAGGGAGAATTGGTCTTTCCAGCTTCTATAACTGAATTTCTTGATTTTCATAGACGTGTCCTCTTCTCTCACCTTCAAAACTAGCAATGATGGCATAACATCTTCAAATCTTTCTCTGCTTCTGTCTCTACATCACCTTGTTCCCTCTGATCTACTGTTTCCCTCTTAATAAAAATTCAGTTAGTCCACAATAATTTCCTCATCCCATGTTCTTTAAATTAGCTGCATCTGGAAAATTCCTTTTGCCCGTATAGAAGGAAGCATACCTAACCTTAACTAGGGGGGAAGAAAATCAGCCCCAGGCCAATCCCTATGAAGCAGAGGTCAAACATGCTTCTATCGTCTTCCCTCCTTTACCAAATCTCCCCCACCAACCATTTCTCCCCCAGTACTTTCTATGTATCATCTGAATTTGACAACCCCTTGCAATGACCACACAGAGTTCACAAAATACACATGATTATGAGGTTGAGGTGGGGAGGGGGAAGTTAACAGGTTATTGAGGACCAGAAATGCCCTTTCCCAGTCATGCCAATAGATATGTCTCTCTTACGCTTAACCTCTCAGCCTATTGGCCACTGCTTTAGTCAGGCAATGCTACAAAGCTCCTTTAGCACTGCTGACAAATATCCAAAGGGCACACCACTCTGTCATGAGCCTCAGCCTGAAAGTACTCAGCTCTAGCTGTGGGTCCCCATCTCTAGTCTCCTCAGTTAAGTGCCTGGAGACACTTCACTCAGCAGGAGAGCCTCAGCTTTACTCAATCCAGGGGTCAGGAAGCCCATGGCTCCATCTAATGCTCTGACTCTGTGGGTGTTGCTTTTCTGTCACTTCTCTGATGTCACAACATTCTGTCTCCTGGATCTAAAAGGTTCTGTGCATATGAATCTCAGGGTAAAACAGATGCACTCCAGTCCTGGCTCTTTTTTCTCAATAGCAGTGAGAGTCCCCTCTTCATGCTTCTGAGATGGCACATTTCTGAGATGTCCCAGAAGGATGGCAAAATTAACCAATCTCCACATTTGTTGTTGTTGTTAAGTGCCGTCAAGTCGGTTCTGACTCATAGCTACCTTGTATAGGGTTTCCAAAAAAGTGGCTGGTGGATTTGAACTGCCAACCGTGCAGTTTAAACAGACATAGTAGTCGAGTGCTTATCCTACAGCGCCACACCAGGACTCCACCCCCACATTAGAGTTCCAAACTTCTGCAATTACAATCAAAGCTGTTAGCAATTACTCATAAATAAATCTTGTAAGCCTATCAGCAACTCCCCCGCCTTCTCTTGCCCAGATCCATCAGAGAAAGAGGAAATACACCTAATCATTTGGTGGCAGTTACAAAGACTATGGCTAGAGAAGTCATACTAAGTAATTCACTGCATTGTAGTCGCATAAACTAACATTTATAATTTTGAGGGATTAGAACATCTTGGGGAGCCATTATTTAGCCTATTATAATATCCAAAGATAACTTTTATCTATTTTTCTCTAATTAGTGTTAAAAATAAAATTAATCAGACATCCCTAATTCTTCCTTTCTGAATAGTTGCAAAATTATCTGAAAAAAAGGTTCTTCAACCATATGTGTATATTTAAAAGAAACTATCTTTGAAGCAATCGTATTCAAATGGCATTAAAGAGATGGGGAAATATAAGATAGCACTCTTGCTCTCCAGAGCTTAAGTTTGTGACGATCCCTAAAATAGTGCTGGAAAAGAACAAATGTAGCAAGCTAGTCAGGTTGTGGTGTCATAAATAAAAATGAGAGAACTATATTATTAACTCTGTTCAATTTAGCATTTTTCCAAATCAAATGTGTTCCAAGATATAATTTGTATTGAAAAGAATTTGAATAAATGCTGTTTTTAACCTTTTTCTTCCAGTCTTACAAATTCCAGGCCTCAACAATTCTCCAGTTAGGATAACTTAATGTTACTTTCTTTCTCTTAGTCACTCTCATCTTAACTTGAACTTTTCTTCCATCTGCTTTCTTTAACTTTAATTTAATTGTCTCTGTAACATCTTTAGGAATATGGTGTCTTGTGATGGTGATCTCATGTATTTTCTGCATGGCTTCATTAATAACTTCCATTTTCTTGGGCATCAAGTGTAAGTATAAAAGGATATATTTTTAATGATATATAAATATACAGATATTTGTATTATGCATGTTTATATATGTCTATCATTAGACATGAATCATAATTTTAAATGAGGATGAATAAATCTATTTAAATATATCAAAATGCATATAAATTACATAAATAATGGCTTAATTCAAATTATGGAACTTTTATTAGATATAACTCTGAGCATTTAGATGCCACTAGCAACTTTAAATTATCAATTGCATGTTATTAAAATCAAATGTAATGCTATATGTCACTTTGGGAGAAATAGTACACATGATTATTATATGCTGATTCAATTTACCAGCCATGTTAGCATGGCAAAATACACAATATGAAAGATTTCAGAATACACTTTTTTATTTCTAATATATATGTATGCCAAACTTGCCTGATGCAGATTATTTGATGTGTCTTTAATTTTAAATTACTCAAGGTAGAATTTAATATGTTTAATGCAAACCTGGGTGTTTTATTTGGACCATAGTTAACCACAATTTTTTTACTCCTTAAGTCCAAATTAGATATACCTTTCTATGTCAGGGAAGTAAAAATTTTACATGAAAATAATTATGCAACTACAAGTTCTAGGAAAAGGACTGTTGTTGTTAAGTACCTTCGAGCGGATTCTGATTCATAGCAACCCTGTATAGGGTTTCTGAGGAGTCGCTGGTGAGTTTAAACAGCTGACCTTGCCATTCAAACTGACCTTGCAGGTGAGGACTTAACCTGTAGCACCACATCAGGACTCAGCACTATGACAGAGATAAAGGTTACTATAGGCATCATTCTCTTTACTGCAAGTGTCCTTTGGCATTAGTTGGCAAAGAATTATTAATTCAAGATGAGGAAGACTTCAAATTTATTTCCATCAAATACAAGATGTTTGAACTTGTTTACGTAATACTACAAGACTTGTTTTTTCCTGATAGTTCATAGAGGAATGGTTAAAGAATTACTAAGGACATGCTAAATAATTGTTACTTTGTCAATCTCTCCCATCCACCTCCAATGTTGTTACCTGGTCCTGCGCCATCCTCACTATGTGCTCCATCCTCACAATTGTTGGAGCCCATTGTGGTAGCCACTGTGTCAGTTCATCTCACTAAGAGTCTTCCTTTTTGTTGCTCACCTCTACTTGACCAAGCATGATAGCTTTCTCAAGGTACTGGCCCCCCTGGTAGCGTGTCCAAAGTACATGAGACAATACTTCTAAAAAGCATTCTGGTTCTACTTCAATACTCCAGGTTGTTGTTGCTAAGTGCTGCCAAGTTGGTTCTGACTCATAGCAACCCTATTTAGGGTTTCTGTGGAGCAGCTGGTGGATTTGAACTGCCAACTTTGTGGTTCAATGTCCAGTGCTGATCCTACAGTGTCACAACAGACATCCCAAAATCCTATTGCCCAGCTCAAATGTTAGAAGTTTCAGGAAGTTTTCACTGATCACACTCTATCCTCCTGTTCATTGTTAAGAAATTACTCTCAAATGCTAGTGTCTTTTTATTTAAGCACCTCAAACATTAAATATGTATTTGCCAAACAGGTATGCTGAAGACAAATTTCCATAGTTAAAAGAGAACTAATGGATACTTCATTTTGCTTCAGTAATCCAGTTTCTTCTGAAAACTAAGTACTTTTAGTTTAATATTGCCAAGATTCACTTTAACTCTATATAATACAAGAATCCATATTTTACTTGTTCTGTAAAATATCAAAAGATGTGATTAAAATTTGAATTCTATATGATGAATTTCAATCTTTTTTTACTTGTATCAAGTACTCAAGGACAAAAAAATTTAAAAAATTAAACAATAATAAAATAATAAGTAATGGTTAAAACATTGAATAAGTTCCTTGGTTAAATTTTCAAGAAAAGTGGTTCCTATTTGTGGTGACAGTGTATAGATGCCACTGATCACCAACCCCTTTCAGAAAAAAAATCCAATAATATCACTCAGAATAATAAGGCAATTATGGGTAATTACAATCTGACTTACAATAGGGTTCCTTTCCGATGAGTCCATCAGTAGTTGGTTCTGATGTAAATTGAATATCTTTTGGTTTTTGGTTATTATTGTCTTTTATTATAAGTATCTTTGTAAGTCTAATTGATACTTATTTTGGGGGTTTAGAAACATTACATATACACTTGCAGGACTGTATTAACAAATACAGAAAACAAAAATTTGTTGCAAGAATGAAGAAGAGCTAGACAACATTGGCTTTTTTGTCAGTTGTGATTATAAATCCACTTTTGGAAGGCTCTGAATCAGATGGGTTAACCCTGGGAAGGGTAATTATGCTTCTAGTCAGAAGATCAGAGAGAATTATATACATGATCCTTTTCTATTTTTCTTCATACATTTCATGATAACAGCTCACTGCTTCCAGAATCTGCCTATCGAATTTAGCCAAATGAACATTTTAATCCATGTTTTCAAACAACTGGTGGCCCTAATTTAGAAAAAAAAATCAACTAATCTTTTCACAGTAAAAATTTTTGACATGTCTTCTTCCTTTGCCTTGTTATTTCTTTCTTCTTCAGCATTTCTTTCCTCTTCAAAATCCATTAAGTTCTGATCCAACACTTCTGCTACTTCTGATATATGAGCTATTTCATATTGGTGATACCAAGTCCTAAATTCATCATTGTCATATGGATGGTTTTTCCAACTATATCTTTCATCATATTATTCTGATCAAATGCTTGGAACCTGTCCATGTAATGCAACATTTTTTTTTTTTCTTCAATTTCCCTGCATGCATTTTCCCATGACTTTGTCCCCCAAATATGCAATGTTCTGAATATGCTGAAGACTATAATAATTCTTCCAGAAGTCACATGTTATTGTATTTACATCTATTACAATTATTGCCTGAGCAAATGTAGTCCATAAGCGGTATGTCTTGAAAGTGGTGATTGTACTTTGATCTGTAGCCTCATCAAAGCTGACCTATCTACATAAAAGTGGTAGGTATATACACCACTTTCATGTCTTGATTTAGATTATTTATGGGAGGAAACTGTCTCAGGACATTAACAAGTAGGAACAGAGTCTTTAAAAGAATGCTGTTTTCATGGAAGTAAGCACACACTTCTGGATGAAACTGGCCACACCCCTGAAGCAACTCTCTTTCAATTGATTGGCTGCTCAAAGCAGATCTCATCATGGAAATGATTACATCATATTAGATCTCATCATGGGGGATCATTACATCTTAACAGTTGAGCCACTGAGAATCTTGGTCCAGGCAAGTTGACACAAAATTTTATCACATATATGAAAAAAACAAAAAACAAAAACCCAATGATAAAAGAAATGTAAGTTAAAATGATATTGAGATATCATTTGCAAAGATCAAAGAATTAGGAGTACCCTTACATCACAGAGATTACTAGAGAATGGAGTCCTATCATGGTGCTTTAGGATGGCTATTAGACTGGTAATTGTAAACTCAGTGGTTCAAACCCATCAGCCACTCCTTGGAAACTCTATATAGAAGCACTATGAGCCAGAATTGACTTAACAGCACTTAACAATATATACAGGGTCATTTGGAAATATCTAATAAAGTTTAGGAGTCCTGGTGTGGTCCTCTGGGCTAATGTGTCGGAATGCAAAGTCATTTTAACTTCAAGGTCCGTGGTTCAAGCTCACCAGCTGCTCCTTGGAAACACTATACAGGGTTGCTATGGGTCGGAAACGACTCAACAGCATTTAATAACAACAACAATACAGTTTAAATGCCCATAATATTTAACCTAGCAACATCTTATATACCTGCACTTGTGTCAGATTATATATGCCCAGATTTCCTTTTAATGACATCATTTGTTTTTACAATAACACAAGATTAGAAATGGTCTAAAAGTCAAGAGGCATAGAAATGCAAATCATGATATATCCACACAATGAAACCTTATGCTGCTAGAATGCTCTGATATAGAACTCCAAAATACATTTTGAGTGGTGAAATAAAAGGTATAAAATTATGTGAACAGATTGTCATCATTTATGTATAGTGGAGGAGGGCATTTTATATTCATTGACTTACAAGATGCAAAAAATATCTCTGGAATCACTGAAAATAAGTTGGTAAACCTAGCTACTGTAGGGGAATGGAAGTGGGAGAATAAACAACAGAGATGACAAGCAGGTGTTATTTATGCATTTATTTTCACTGTATATACATGTACCTGTTGATTTTGAACAATGCAGATTTTAAACAGAAAATGTTAGAATAATGCAAAAGCAAGTCACAAAAATAATTAGTAACTTATAGTTTACTGTAGTCTATATTGAAAGATTACTTGGTTACAATATGCCAATATTATATTAGGAATGATTGTTATTATTTGAAGTGTTTCAGATATCCACTATTGCAATGAAACAGCAAGAAAAACTCACCCAACAGAACAGAACATTGTTAAACTTTATGCAATGGAAGAAAAAGCATGACTTTCAGATGAAATGTTGTCAAACTTTGATGCAAAACTCTTTTGGCTCAGGTAATTGATATAAAATTCATTTTCCAATGTACCAATTCTTCACAAGAAACAATGACACACACATTTTATTATCTGCAAAGTTGTTAGTTGGGGTTTTATAATGGGAGAAAAATAACTCTTCAATTCAACTTGATTCATGTGGAAATAACTGTTCCATTCATCTTCTGCATGAGGAAAACACTGAGGTTTCAAGAAATGCAGAGGAAGAAAATATACCAGAACATATGTAGCCAAGACCCAAACTGGGATTTTTATAATTAATAGATCAGAAAAATTTTATTTTTATTTTTTAAGTAGCACTCTAGGTTTTAATTCAGTCACTTAAGTTTCTATCTATATCTTCAATTCTAGTTCCAAACTTCCATATCAGTCTACTTGGCTGTTATTATTAAGTTTCATCTAGTTGGTTCTGATTCATAGCGATGCTGTATAGGGTTTCCAAGGAGTGGCTAGTGGGTTTGAACTGCTGACCCTAGGTTAACAGTCCCATGCTATCCTGCAGCACCACTTTATCTACTTTAAAAAACTTAAGATAACTGTGAACAGAAATTTTATTTTTAAATTTAGAGAATTTATTGTAAAATCATTATATATAATATAGGAGTCAGGATTTTTTATTTTAAATTCACATAAAATCATTCTAGTTTTATCTTTTAAATCCCTTGCTGTTAAGTGCTGTTAAGTTGGTTCTGATCCATAGGGACCCTGTATAGAGCTTCCGAGGAGCGACTGGTGAGTTTGAACTGCTGACCTTGAGGTTCAAGGCAAACTTGCGGTCCAGTGCTTATCCTATAGCACCACAGCAAGACTTGTTTGCAAGCATTTTAAACCTAATGTAGTCTTATTAGTGTTGCTATGAATCAGAACTGACTCGATGACACTTAACAACAACAGCAACAGTAGTTTATTAGTGAGCATGGTGGCTCTTACAATAAGTGATGGACTGTGAACCACAAGGTTGGCAGTTCGAGTCTACCAACTGCTTTACTGGAGAATGATGAGGCCTGTTCTGTTCCGATAAAAAATTGTAGCCTCAGAAACCCCATACAGAGTGGTTATAAGTCAGAACTAAAGCCACATCAGCAACAGTAGCAGAAGCAGTGAATACCATTTAAGTAATCTTCAATGAAAGGGTTTAAAAATTTAAAAAAAATTGAGCAGTAAGATTATTAGGCATGAAACAATGGGACAAGCCAAAGAAGACTATAAAGCACATAAATTCAATAAAATGATTAATTAAAACATCAATAATCAGATCAACTTTTATTGACAAGGAAAGTGTATTGAGCTTTTCTAGTTAATGTTATCTTAAACTAATTCTTAAAGAGTTTTTGAAGTTGGAAATGTTTATATAAATTTTATTATATTCAGCTTCAGAGAAACTAGAATTGTTAAGTGTTGCAGGATAAACACTGGACCACAAGGTTAGTTTGAACCAAAGTTGTTGTTGTTGTTATGTGCCATGTTGTTGTTGTTGTGAAGTGCCATCGAGTTGGTTCCGACCCATAACGACCCTGCATAGGGTTTCCAAGGAGCAACTGGTGAGCTTGAACCACCAAGCTAGTAGTTCAAACGGCTTGGTAGTCTGGCGCATTAACCCACAGCGCCACACCAGGACTCCATACATGGTTCTAATTTGCCAGCAGTTACTCAGAAGCCCTATATAGGATTTCTATGAGTCAGAACCAATTCAAGAGCAGTTAACAACAACAGCACCAGCTGAACCAGTAGGTTAGGCTGTGTAGCTGCACTGGGGGTAATGCAAGCATTAATTTTGTTAAGACATGTTACTGATATTATAATAATAAAAATAAATATCATTACTGTTATAATGTTAATAGTCAAGTAAAATGTTTATATTCAAAGCCCAAAAATGTGGTCCTTGCCCAGACAACTGGATTCAGAATGAAGAAAGCTGTTATTATGTCTCTAAAAAATGGAATGTTTGGCACCAGAGTAAAGAAGATTGCTTCAAGGAGGGATCCAAGCTTCTACAAATAAACAGCAAAAAAGAAATGGTAAGCACCTTAATTCTGAGAATACCAAGTTAAATGTTGAAAGAAAGCATTGATTTTCACAAGATAAAATTCCTTAATATTCAATAACATAGTATATCTGTTAAAATAATGGTTTAAATGAGACAAGTTAATATAGTTTTGTTTTGCCTTTATCAGTGGAATAAAAAAATACAAGATTGAACTAGCAAAAAAACAAACAAAAAAAAAAAGAGCTAGCACAGTCTCCTTTGTTTATGGCTGCGTCCTTTGGTAATTGATAAATAAGGGAGGAAGAGGGCATAATTTTGTTCCATGCTATTACTAATACACTCCAAACTGTACATACAATATAATTGCATGTATGCTTTAAATTTGTTCTTGTCAGTGTTATGGGGAAGTATAAACAGGCTATAGCAATCTAGTAATTATGAAGGAACAACAAAGGCATAAAAAGTGAGGTGACATGAAATAATAGGTCTATAAAAATGAATATAGGGTAAAAAATGTTTAATTGATGTTAAATCTTATTTATTTACTAATAAGTGAAAAATAGGTGTTTCTCGGAGAAATTATTCTTTTGTCCATAAATATGTGTGAAGTACAATTCATAGTTATATACTTGTGACATTATAAATATATGCCATGGAAGTCAGAAATTGAAGGAAATTTTCTGAAGTAGGAGATCTTAAAGATATTCAGTAAGCCAAGGCAACTTGAGCTAACTTTTTTTTTTTTTTTTTTTTTTCAATTTTGAGTTTGATAATGCTTCTTCTAACAAAATACACTTGCAGTCAAGTTGTTTCTGGAATCTCCTAAACTATTTCTCATATCGAAGTATACTGGAAATAAATAACTCGTGTGATTCATGATGTCAAAGACAGTTGTACTTCTTCTCATAATAGGAGTCCTGGTATTACGCTCTAGACTAAGTACTGGGCTGCTAACTACAAGGTCGGTGGTTTAAACCCACCAATCGTTCCTTGGAAACCCTAATAGGAACTTTATGAATCAGAACCATTTTGACAGCACTTAACAACAACAGTAATGAGAGTTCAGTACAGCACTTATCATTATTAACATAGTCTGCTAGACTCTCAAACTTCCCTGGTGTGGTGCTGTACGATCAGCTTTGGACTGCGATCCACAAAGTAGGCAGTTCAAAATCCATCAGCTTCTCCTCAGAAACTCTTTACAGGGTTGCTGGGAATTGGACCCAACTTGATGGCTCTTAAGAACATCAACAACAACCTGTTGTTGTTGTTGTAAGGTGCCATCGAGTCGGTACCCACTCATAGAGACCTTATGCACAGCAGATTGAAACACTGCCAGATCCTGGCCAACCTCATTAATGTTGTCATGCTTGAACCCATTGATGCTGCTACTTTGCCAATCCATCTCGCTGGGGGTCTTCCTCTTTTCTTCCGACCCTCCATGCTACCAAACATGTTGTCCTTCTCCAGGTACTGGTCCCTCCTGACAATATGGCCCAAGTATATGAAAGACAAAATCGGGCCATCCGGGCCTCCAAGGAGCACTCTGGCTGCACTTCTTTCAACATAGATCTGTTGGTTCTTTTGGCAGCCCATGGCATTTTCAGTATTTTCCTCCAACACCATAACTCAAAAGCATCAGTTTTTCTACGGTCTTCCTTATTCACTGTCCAGCTTTCACATGCATATGAGGTTATTGAAAATACCATGGATTGGGTCAGGTGCACCTGAGTCTTCAAGCTGACATCTTTGCTCTTTAACACTTTAAAAAGGTCTTGTGCAGCTTCCATGAGTGTTGATGGTTGATCCAAGAAGAATGAAGTCCTTGACAACTTCAATCTTGTCTTCATTGATAAGAATGTTGTTTATTGGTCCAGTGGTGAGGATTTTTGTTTTCTTTACATTGAGATGCAATCTATATCAAAGGCTGTGGTCTTCAATCTTCATCAGTAAATATTTTAAGTCTTCTTCCCTTTGAGCAAGCAAGGTTGTATCATTTGCATATCACAGGTTGTTAATGAATCTACCTCCAATCCTGATGCCATGTTTTTCTTCATATAACAACAACCTAGTTTTCCATAAATACCACATTGATCATATAGAAAAGAGTCTATAAAAGAACTGCCCCCTTTTTTAAGCCTTTTCCTTGTCTTTCTCTGGCTTTGTGTTTCTATTAATTTGTGTCTTGCAAAATGGCATACTTTATATATCACAGCAGTATTTTGTTGTTGTTTTTCCCTTTCAGTTCACAGTTCATTTCTTGTTTCTTGTAGGATTTTATCACTGACTTCTTGAGGACCAAAAATGACGACGAATACTGGGTGGGACTGTCTCAGGATGGGGTCAGTGGTCCTTGGCTTTGGCAAGATGGCTCCTCTGTTTCCTCTGACCTGTAAGTCTCAAAAGGAAATTTTATATGAAAATTTAGAAACATTGGGGAATTCAAAGGCTTATTATATTTTATATGTTAGATTTGTCACAGGAGAATTAGCCAACATTATAATTTTACAGGCTACTAATTTCAAACAAATCCAAGGTAATTTAGAGTAGCTTTCTGGCTTCTAACTGTTGTTCCTTCTCAGTACCACTTCCATTATCCTCTAGAAAATTTAAAGTTGAGTGTCTTATTGAATAATTTAATATTATGTAATTAGCAATTAAAAGTTCTTTATATTCTAATGAATGCAAAGGAAAAGAGATTGTGGTACCTGTTAAGCAAGTTCCTTATCAAATTTTCAGATAGAACTGGAGGGATGGGTGAGCAGGATCAGCTGTCTTGTATTTTAAGAATTAAGATTCAGGAAAGAAACTCCAATTTGGATTCTATATTTTATATGCTTTTGTTGATATTATATTAACATTTATTTACTGAGAGAAAACAGCTCTGTTATCAAAGAAAGAGGCTGAAAGCGATACAAAGGGGTGCCAGGATAAAAGGAACTAACAGTGATGCACCTCTGAAGCTACCAAAAGAACATCATTGTATCGCCCACATATAACCTAAAATACAACACTGATGTTTTCACAGGTCAATTCAGAGACTTCAATCAATTAACCAGGGTTGTGGATACCTCAAGCACAAGTCCCTTTTTCCAGATAACTGTAGCAGTTGGAAATATTTTATCTGCGAGATGTGAACATTATGATTCACTGCCTGAAAGAAATTGTGCTCAAACCAATCTCTCTCACATTGGAAAATGTGCCCCCAAAATCGAAGAGCAGGTACTGATGTAAACCAACATGTGGCTATTACATCTAACTCAGCTGTATAGTTACAATTGGAAATTATCTTCAATACACTCTAGACTGTTATTTGACATAACTCAAATTGCCAAGAATAAAATTAATTTAGAAGCACAGGGAGTAAAACCCTGATGACTTAAGACTTATCAGAAGGGATATCATTTCTAATCATTTTTCTTTTTCTTTTTTTTTTTTTGGTCTATAAACTCCATATGGGAATTTGTAAATAATTGCAGAGATGGTGCAGTTCTTGCTGACCAGTATTTCAAAATAAATACATGAATGTGGCCTTTCAAATCCACTGTCTGCCACATCTTTCTTTGATTTTTCTAAAATTACCAGTATGTTATTGGTGGTGTTAAGTGCCATGGAGTCAGTTCCTACTCATAGTGACAATGTACAGGCTTTCTGTGGAGTAGTTGGTAAATCTGAACCACTGACCTTGTGGTTCAAACAGACCTTGCAGTCCAGTGCATTAGCCCACTAGAGAATTACAGAGATACAGATTTTTAAATGGGAAGAAAGTCAGGCTTCTGTTTGCAGCCTGTCAGAGAACACACTCATAAAACTGCAGAATTTTACTGGATAGATGAACTACTACATTTCACATCAGTGGAAGAAATAGGCCACTGATATTAATTTATCCTTCATTTGTAAAGGACAGTTGTAAGGTTTCCTCTTTCCTTTCACAGGCCATCCCACATCTCAATAATCAAAGGGCTCAAGGTTTGAATTGTTAGTAAACACTCTAGCATTTTTCACTTGTGAGTATGTTCAGCCAACAAACTGTGTCCAGGGAACAAAATTGAAAGATTACATCTTTCCTTGACTTTATCACGTTATCAAAGATGTTATTTGGTGCTGTTAAGTGTCATCGAGTAGGTTCAGACTCATAGCAATCCTGTATAGCTGCAAATCTTTTCAGGATCAGAAACCTCATCAGTCTCCCACGCAGTGGCTGGTGGACTCAAATTGTTGACCTTGTGGTTTGCACTCAAGTGCTTGTCCTATAGAGCTACAGTGCACCTTATAATCCAAGACTGTTGTTATTGTTGTTGTTGTTGTCATGTGCCGTGGAGTCGGTTCCGACTCATAGCGACCCTGTACAGGGTTTCCGAGGCTGTAAATCTTTACAGGAGCAGAACGCCTAATCTTTCTCCCGCGGAACAGCTGGTAGTTTCCAACTGCAGACCTTGCAGTTCACAGCCCGATTCGTAACCACTATGCTACCAGAGCTCCTTCTTGTTATTGTTAAGTGGTATCAAATCAGTTTAAATTCATAGTAACCCTGTGCAGGGTTTCCAAGGAGCAGTTGGTGTATTTGAACCACCAACCTTGTGGTTTCCAGTCCAGTATTTATTCTACAGCACTACACCAGGGTGGAATCCTGGTGTGGTGCTGTGGGTTAATGTGCTGGACTGCAAAGTCGGTTTGAACTGCAAGGTTGGTGGTTCAAGTTCACCAGCTGCTCCTCATAAACCCTATACAAAGTTGCTATGATTCAGAACCAACTCTATAGCACTTAACAACAACAACAATACCAGGATAGGAACATATAAACATAAATATAACATTCTTGTAATGTTGAAGGTATGCACAGGTGCTATGAGAATTCAGGCACGTGTCCCCTGACCTAGACGCATGGCTGAGTTTTCATTTATAATACATTGATAATTAAGCATCTACAGAGGAGTTTTTATCTGTAATAAATTACAATAGTACTATTAATCTAAAGCATTGATTGAGATGCATAATTGTGTGAGCTACATAATAATTACAACCAATTAGGCTGGCTGCTTCCATAGTGATTTAAAGCCTCTGAAACCCTATGTAGGTTTGCTATGAGTCAGAACTGACTTGATGGTATACAACAACAAAAACAAAAACAACTGGTTGTTAGTTATTGTGTAAAAGGTGTGTATGTGGTGGTGGGGTGGGGAGCACTAACCTCCACTGACATTTCCTAAGAGAGGAGAATCAAACCCCTATCAGCCCAAGACCTATTCCTATAAGACTGAGGTCAGACATGCAGCCACTTCCAACCTTCCTTACCAATTCTCCTTCTAACCATCCTTCCCATAGGATTCTCTACTTCTCTGCTGGGTTGATAATATATTATAATGGCCACACAAAACTCAGAGATAATACTATTATTATAGAGTTTACCAGGGAAGTCCCTGGAGAAGAAGATCATGCTCAGTAAAGTGGAGGGTCAGAGAAAAAGAGGAAGGCCCCAACAAGATGGATTGGCACAGTGGCAACAGCAGTGGACTTAAGTTAACAGTTGTGAGGATGGTTCAGGACAGGGCAGTGTTTCATTCTGTTGTACATCAGGCAGCTATGAGTCTAAGTCTACTCAACAACAGGGAAGTTGACAGGTTACAGTTAAGGTATGGCAGCCTCTCTCTGACCTCTGCCTTACTCAGACAATGTTACAAAGCTGTTTTAGTGCTGCTGATAAATGCTCAAAAGCCACTTCATTCTGCTATAAGCCTCAGCCCAAAGGCACTCAGCTGTACCTCCATGGGTTAGTAATCCTAGCTCCTCACTTAAAATGTCTGCAGGCACCCCACCCCACAAGTGAGTATCCTGCCTTCAAGCACTTAGTTTTACTAGCTCTGTGGTCTGGAAAACTCACCTCTCTGTATGGTGATTTGGCTCTTCGTTCTGTTCCTGCTCTTCCTCTTCTACTCCAGTGTTACATTCTGTCCCTGGGTCAAGGAGGTTCAATACACTGGGATTTCAGGGTTCAAAGGACACACTCCACTCCTGGCTTTTTCTTCCTTGAGATGCCCCATTCCTGTTTCTGAGATGGCTCTTTTTAGATTTCCAAGTTTTTATAATCACAATGAGCTCTGACAACAATCACTCACATCTGAATCATATAACTGTATCAGCATCTTTTCCTACCTTCTCTTATCCAGATCCATCAGGGAAAAAGATTGCTTGGTGGAAGTTACAAAGAGTATGGTAGAAGAGCCATATGACATAATTCACTGCACTGCAGATATACACAACAGGTGATCTATAATAAAAAGTTACTCCACCATGATTAATGCAAAGTGGAGAAAAAGCTTTATCTGCAGTCTGTCTGATTTCAACTTCTGGGAGTTTGTTCAACAGCAAAACTGTCTTTAGTAGGTATGGAGGATAATTTTCATTCTAAAGTTCCATTAGATCTGGTGGAAAAAGCATCATGTAGTTCTCTAGCTACTCTGTCTTTCATCTTGTTTCCCACATATATTTTATTCCAGAGGGTGAATAAAACTTGAAAAGTCTAGAAAGACATGTGTGGGGATAGAACCATGGAATCCCACAGGGAGGAGAGACATTTTTAAAGTTTCATTCATAGCAATACCAACCATATTCATAGTAATTATAAGTATTTCATGGAAAAAAAGGAAATGACACTGAATAAGTATAGCAAAGAATTTTTTTTTTTTCAGAAGCCCATGCTTTGTTTTGTTTTTACCAATTTTTCTTTCCTCATTTTTTCCCCCAAAATTTATCAGAATCCATTTAAAGTACATGTTAAAAGCATAGCTTCCTGGACTTCCTTCAAGATCTATTGAATCAGAATCTTCTGGAATAATACCCAGGACTCTGCATCTTTATAATGTATACCCATAGTTTCATAAGCACAATTAACTTTGAGAAAGGACCTAAATCAATGGTTGACAAACTTTAAATAAATATTATCTGATGATTTTCATCAAAGGAAAATGTACACTGAACTCCATTAGGAAAATCACAGAAAAGTGAGACTTTTAAGATTTAAAAAAAGGGTGAAGGTTCTTTGATCCACTCAGCAACGCTGGCCTAACAACTGTGGCCCTGAAGAGACTCCACGATATTTCCTCTATTCGTTGTTTGGAAAAACTTACTGTGAACAGCTAGCATTTTGGAAACATAGATTTAATCTATTTCTGATTTCTTAGGTGATGTTTGTGGATTAAGAGAACAAACTCTGATAAGATAATATGGGTTCAGACGGTGGTGTGAGTTCTGCTATCTACAGTATGAGTTTGGCTTGTCATTAACCTCACTGTGCCTCAATTTGTTCACTATAAAATAATTATAGGGTTTCCCTCAAAATAGAATTTGAAGATTAAAGCATTCATATATATGTGTCTATATCTGTATCTAGATAGATATAAATTGCTGAGAATAGTATTTTGTACAGAGTAAGTACTTTACTACTGCTTGCTATTTTTATCTAGATTATATCACCAATCTCCTTTGTTAATGCTGTTGTTGTTAAGTGCCATCTAAAAGGAATTCTGGTAGCGTAGTGGTTACAAATCGGGCTGCGAACCACAAGGTCAGCAGTTCGAAACTACCAGCTGCTCCGCGGGAGAAAGATGAGGCTTTCTGCTCACGTAAAGATTTACAGCCTTGAAAACCCTGTTCAGGGTCGCTATGGGTCTAAACAGACTTGACAGCACTTAACAACAAGTCTGTTTAAACTCATAGCGACCCTGGTGGTGATTATAACCTCTGACTTTCTGGTTCAAACTGACCTTCATCCTACAACAAAACACAAGGAATCTTCTAGGTGTCAATATTATTTGAGTGTTCCATGTAAAAATGACCCCTTTTCCTTATCATGCTAAGTAATATTGAGAAAATGAAATGTTTATATAACATTTCAACAGTATCTGTTTGAATATTTATGAATCCTCCTTCAATACGTCTTTGTTGCTGTTGCTAAGTGCCCGAAAGTTCCAATTCATAGGAACCCTGCTTCCAAAGAGCAACTGGTGGATTTGAATTGCCAACCTTGCCAGCTTTCATTCCAGTGTTTATCCCACAGCACCATACCAGAACCCAAAAAGTACACCTATAGTCTATTAAAAAAATCTCTGCACTAGGTTTGTAGTCTACTTGAAACATA